TTTGCTATTGATACTCTGAGAGAAGGAATTTGTATTTCGAGCGGCAGTATGGCTTTAGAACCATATACCAAAGCAAATAGTGTTGATATTGTCGGTGTTCGGTATGTAGTTTGGTAAGCCCATGGAGCTTCTATCAATCTCACGCATTTTCTTGGACTGTTAATCAATGTCATTTTCAGAATTTGGACAAAAGTTTTGTTAATAGCTTCCGCCAATCTGTTGGCTTTGGGATAGTTGATTCTCGAATATCTTCATTCTATTTGATGGCTTGAAAGTTAACTTAAAATAAAAAAATGTGGTACAATACTTAACTGGAAGACAAATATTAATAGTGAACCTACAAATTAAAATTTCAAATAATTTCCAATAATTTGCTGCAAAATAAATAATTGCAAAAAAAAACCTACAAATGAACATTGGCACTTCAAAGCACGCTTCAACGAAGTGAGCGAAGCGTGCACTTTTAAAAAAAATTGCAAAAATCTAAGTCCAAATGTTTCTATTGCCATCAAAATTTTTTAACATCACATATTCTTAAGGCGAACTATGTCGATGCATCTAGTATGTCAAAATTATTGAAGAATGGACTTTCCAAGGTCTATTTTGACAAACAAGATGGAAACGACAAATTGTAAATCAAACCCGAATTATTTTAAATTGTTATAAAATTGATCAAATATTGGCTTATCAAATAATGGATTTCGCCGACATGTATAGAATATCAAAATTACTTTTGATAAATATCCATATAGTGCAAAATCTTGCACAAAATCAATCTGCAAACTTTTCTTGTACATGAGGCTAGTGTCACTTAAATTGAGGCACATGATAAACGAGAATGTATATCAATTTATACATTTAGCTCGTATTATTATTATTATTATCTAATATGTAGAATAAAAAAATTCTTATCAAATTTCTATTATAGCCAATTAGTTATAGCCAAAATTGGTCATAGCCAATAGACTCATTGCGGGCTGTTTGATATTTTTCTCACTTCTTTAAACATTTACATTTAAACTAATTTTTATAACATAACTTCTAATATTTTATCTTTTCTTGCACAACCAATTATTTTTTTATAGAAACTTTTTTTTTTAATTTCTCTATGTACATCTTTTGTCACTTGTTTAATAGTATTTGTTACTTTATCTCTCATAGTATTTGCTTCATCATGAACATTCAAAATTTTGAAATCTTGAATTTTACTCATAAACATAAATTTATGTCTTTTAGGTACCCCTATCTAATTCTACGACGAAGAATCTTATTTATCTTTATTTTACAACTCTTCATCTTAAAATGAAGAGCTAATAATCGATGTTGAGTACTTAAATTCTCATTTGGAATAACCTTACAATCTTTTACATTCTCGATGATCTCTTTTTCTCATAAGAAAATAATCAATTTTTGTTTTATTAGATTCATTCTTATGAGTAATAATATGCTCATCTCTTTCTTTGAATAAATTATTAGTAATAACAAGTACATACATTAAAGAAAAATCTAATATGACTCTACCTTCTTCACTAAATACTCTAATCCATTTAAATCTTCTCTAATAAAATTTCTTTCTTCAAGAGGTATCATTTTTCTAAGTCATTCCAAAATTTATCTTTAAAACAAATATATAAACTTACTTAAGGAGCATAAACACTTATACTATTAAATATCTTAGTATTAATAATAATCTTAAAGGTTATAACTCTATCTCCAACTCTATTAATTTTTACAACATTATTTTTCAAACTCTTATCTATAATTACATTACACCATTTTTAGTGCGACTCTTACCAGAATACAAAAGTTTAAGACCTAAGTTATCAATCTCCTTAACCTTCTCTCCAACTTATTTAGTTTCTTGAATACATAAGATATTTATCTTTTTATGAATCATAATATCAACTAATTTCATTAAATTATCATTGAGAGTACATATATTCTAAGATCCTATCCTAATATTAATTTCATAGACAAAAATATGATAAAACTATCATTTTTTATGGTATTTATAGAACAAAATGTTTAATCAAAATTTATCATTAAAAGCTAAGGTACGTTACATTTACTCTATGTAATATCTTTTCAATGGTGCTAAATTTATGATTAATCTAAGTTCAAAAAGAACAAATTTCATATCGAGTATTTTGCTATTTTCACTCTCAAATTATTATACTCAAGGACATGTCACATCTCATTTATCCGTGTAATTTGGCTGCAAAATGGCTTCCACAGAAAAATAACAGTTATAATTAGAGCATTCTTATTTGGTGGTTTGTTACAAAATAATATTTATATTATAGTCATGACTCTAGTTTATATGATTTTAATGGTTTTGATATGTTGAATTAAGAATCATATGTTATATTTGATTGGACACTCATTTGTTAGATGAATTTGACTTGAATTTTTCTTCTCTTAAATAATAACTTACTCCAGTTCTACAATATTTACTTTAATAAAATAACCCATAATTTTCAACAAGGATTTTTTTCAGTAGGTTGTGTCATTTATCTCACTTGACCAAGTAGATTCAGGGCCATGACAATCTGCGAAGACAAAATTATAAGATCTTGATCAAATTTGTCATTATTTCATCCATTATCCGCTCTAAGCTCATAATGATAAATTTCTTCAATTTAAAACCCTAATTGCTATGTTAGTTATTTAGCATTCTGATTATGAACCTTAATCAAAAGTTGTCTCTTATAATTATGGAAAGTAATTAACTATAAGGGTTTAGGTTTATCAGAAAGCTCAAAGAATATATTAAAGTTCACGAAATTACGCAATGCCTTATTTGAAGTTTAATCCATCTTTTAAAATTTGATTAGGAACATAACAAAAACTCTCTCGTGAGAGATCGAGGCGCAAATTTTTGGAGTTCATAGATTTCTGGTGATTTTATCAAGGAAGGTTTCACTTTTCTTCTTCATATTGTCATGGATATATGCTAGTATAACAACAACTAAAACAAAGAATAAAAGAAAATATAAATTTATCTAATTTATTTTGGAGCAAGCATTGTGAGAGAGGTTGGTGTAGCTAGAATCTATATAATCCTCAAAACTATAGAATAAGCCTTAATAAAACTTATTTTTAATTTTGTTTGGAAGTGCAAAACTAATTAGTTAACAATCTTAGTTAATCTTTTTTTAATATTTATTTGATTTCTAGATTTGTTTAGAGGTGATGTTGTAAACCCACTAGAAAAATAATTTCGGGCTAATAGCTATGTAATTATCATTTTAGATAATTCATAGTGTTGATATGAAAATTAACCACTAAATTTATATTAAATGTTTGGAAAGTAATAAATATAGTGGTTATATACCAGGAAGTATGACTATAAAAAATCTAATAAATGTATTTTATATAGAAGATAGTCCAATTAGAGGAGATCTAATTACACAATATTTCTTCTATTAGAGAAATTCCTAATCTACAGAGATTGAAGTGTGTATAAATGTGTAACATATATTTTCAATTATAAAAAATAAGAAAAAAATGTTTTCCTTCACATGGTATTAGAGGCACACACAGTACAGCACATTGCCGATAGTTTGCTCCTCGATTTGGCTACATTTCCAACATGCAAGTGTTGCTTCGTCTGTGTCGTTTGAATTGCCATCATCCCGAGGGTTTGGGCTCTGTTAGCCTCTAGGCTTTGACTCCTCTCACCAACATTTGATCCCTAAATCGGCTTTCGAATATGACGGCGTGCTGAAGGCCCCATGCCCTAGATCTTGTAATCAATTGAATTAGTGCACGAGAGTTTCTGATTGATATTATTAATTTTATTCATTATTTTCGTGATATAAAAAAAGGGTTATTAGTACATATAACATACTTTTTCACTTTATGAATACTTAAATATTTAAGATTTATATCTTAATATTTAATTATATGCATCATTTAAAATTATCACTGAATTAAAATTTTTAAAATTAAAAATCATTTAACAGGCATATAATTTGATGTGGCTGACTATTAAAAGTTATACAACTAAGCTTAAAATTTAAATATTAAATTTATGAATGTATCTATGTGTAACAAAATGATTTTTTGTGTTATTTTTACTGCGAGTGTAACATAATGATTTTTTGAATCATCAATACTTTTTTATCTTCATTTTCTATATATATATATATATATATATA